CTTCGAAACGATGTCCATAGATTTACTGTCCAATGATCGATTTCTTTCATGCTTTCTCTTACGCGTATTGTCCAATCGATCTATCATCCTCCCGATATAAATATACAGGTAAGAATGTGCTCAGTTGAGATAGAAGCAAAATAGATCCGTACTGAGCCAACTTTTTATTCTTAGGTGCGTTATACAGGGAGAGAGTCTTAATAATTGGTGGGGGGGTCCGGAATTTTTTTCAATGTGCAATAAACGGAGTTACTTAAACGCGAAGGCAGAAATTCACTTAAAGATTAGCATATAGGAAGAAACTATTTTAACATTAAGTTTATCAAACATGATAATACTGGCATAATTTTTTTTTTTAAATTACCGCGGGACATTATTTTATTAAACAATACAATCATAAAATCATGTGTGTCAAAACTTAAACCAATTATAATTCGAGGGTGAATCGAAAAGTAATGAAATTTGTTTTATTATATATATCAGAAATAAAGAACACAATCAAATATAGTGATTTTCCAAGCGTAGCTTAGATGTGGCACAAAGTCGAAAGTATGGAACACCCAGTGAGGATCGAACTCACAACTCAGTCGTAATTGTTCTAGCGAGACAAGCTTGCTAAAGATTACACCGCCTTGGAGTGCCCAAACGCAATCAAATATATCGTACATCAAGATATAGCTATACATCACAAGTTCACATCCCTACTTCTCAACATAGTCAGCACCTCTTTCAATGGTAGTGTTCCACCTACGAATGAGGGCGTGTCTCTAAGCTTTGTAAGACTCAGCTGGCTGCTGATAGAGCAGTTTTCACTTCTTCATCACCACCTGATTTAAAACCTTCATACTTCCATATCTTTGATCCGAAGAAAAAGGCACCGAGGAGTAAACGTTTTAGTGGTGATGAAAACGTGAAAACCGCTGTAACTTGGCTACATTAGAGGTGGTGACTATATTCAGAAGTAGAGATGTAATCTATTATGTATAGCTTTATATTGCTGTAAGATATGTTGGTATTTTTGTTTTTTTCGGTCGATATTTTTTTAATCGATTTGTCCCCAAGCAAGGCAGTAAAGCGACTGAGACACAAGGGGTTACTGGGTGTGGAAGAGTTAGAAACAGAAACATTGCTCAGGCGTAAAGAAAAAACAAAAATAACCAAGAGAACAGAAGATAGCGATTGACATTGCACTGCGTCCCTTCTTATTACATAATAATTTAACTGTTTTCTGTTTGAGCTCTGGGGGAAAAAACGAAATTAGTAAAAAGGAAGGTCTTAATACGTTCGTGGGGCGGAAAATTTTCTCACAAGAATTAAATGCTTCTATCCTAAAAGTAACTAAATTTTGTTATGTATATTTCTATCGATTTGCGCATCTCTTAAATTATGTGTGTATAGAATAGCTAGACTCTTTTAAAGTTAACAATGTCTGAAACATTTTTTACGGGTATAACTGCTCGGCCGTGTGGTACGGAACATTTATGGCGCCACTCACTCAATCCAAATCTCAATCACTGGAAAGAAAGAAAGTGGCATGCCCTAACCCTCGTTGCTCATCATACCCGGTCCTTCACTGACGATGTGAACATATTGCATATCACCGTCGGTACCTTTGGATGGATGAGTGGTTGGCTGCTTCACAGAGGCACCAGTAATACCTTTCAAGAAGTTCCCTACCTGAGTCATTGTACGTCTTCATTTGTTTTGTCAGAATGGAAGCTGCCTTGGGAATGCTCTTCATATTTCTGAAGTGGAAATGAGAGAGCTAAACTTTGGCGTATGTTGCTTAACATTAGGTCGTGTGGTCTTCCACTTATCTCCCGTGAAATATGTATTCTCAAATACTTGGTGAACTCTATACATATATATTCATCTTGTTTATCATACAATTAAAAGGAACTAATAAACCCAATTTTAATACACACTTAACATCTCAAGAATTAAACATAACACATACGCCATAATGTGTATAATTGACGTCTGCAGAACCAATGAAAACGAAACAAATATAGATTTTAAAAATTGATACACACATAAAACACTAACGCTATAAAATATACACGTGACGTCTATACAACCAATGTAAACGAAACAAACAGATTTTTAAAATTGATACACACATAAAACACTAACGCTATAAAATATACACGTGACGTCTATACAACCAATGTAAACGAAACAATTTAGAATTTCAAGATTAAATCGCATTATTTCTTTTTCTTGTGTCAAATTCAGTTTGAATGGGAGTAAGGATATCTTTCACTTCCAAACATTTCTGATGAACCTAAAAAATAGCGAAACACATGGTTGATGTTAACCTCAAGGATACTGACTCATTGCGTCTTCTCAGACCAACGTTTTCCGCTGATATGAATCAATTGTTAGGATTGTTGCTAGGAAAGGTGCTTCACTGTGTCGTACTAGACAGTTTTTCTCTTCAGACACTATCTTAGATATTTATAAGTTTACCATTCTTCCATGCATCGAATATTGCTGCCACATCTGGTTTGGTGCTCCTGCTTTATATTTAGAGATTCTTGATAAAATCCCAAGAAGAATCTACAATGTTATTGGTCCTGGCCTAGCATCTCGGCTTCAGTCACTTTCCTACCGCCATAATGTAGCTTCTCTGTGCTTTTTCTGTAAATACTGTCATGGTATTTGTTCTGATAAACTTTCCTCTATTTTACCTAGACTTTATGAATTTAAACGCAGTACTAGATTGGCAGCAAGGTCTCACCATTTTACAATTGAAATTGTTAGATGTAACTGTAAGTTCTATGCTAATAGTTTATTCTGTCGCACTTCTCGTTCGTGGAACTCTCTCCTAGCTTCTTGCTTCCCTTTTAACTTTGATCTTCAAAGATTTTTAATGCAATATCAATCTTACAGTTGAGGTGGCTACATGTAACCGTAAATTCTATGAAAACAGTTTCTTTTCTCGCACTTCTCGTTTCCGGTTCCATGCTTTCCAGCCAACTTTAATCATCAAAAGTTTAAATGCAATGCCAATCACTATCTACTGTCTTCCTGACTACTCTTCTTTTGTTCTCGCTCTTTAGTAAAGTTTCTGTTTTCTAATTCTTCCACGCCCATTAACCGCCTTGTGTCCTAGGGGCTTTATTGCCTTGTTTGGGGTGAAATGCTTGATATATATATATATATATATATATATATATATATATATATATAATCGATGAATATGACAGCATTTAATCTAGCTCCTGCGGAGGGCTCTTGATTGGACCTTCGGCTTGTTCAGGGGTTTGAGAGTCCCTAAGTCTTTGCATATTCTCAGCATTGGAAACTGGCTGCCGTTTGATCTGGGTTTTCATTTGCATGGGACTTTCATTTCCTCGCTGCAGCCTTGGCTCTTTTGATTGCAATCTGATCCTCAGTTGGCGGAGATTTCTTTTTGCGAGCCATACTGCTGCCGTATGCGATAGGCAACAATGAACTACAGAAAAACTCAAAATTAATATTTAAGCTTACCTTTTAAAAGTTCCATGATAATTCTTCTGCTGCCACTTAATTTTAAGACAGTTTGATGTGCGTAGGTCCTTACTTTCCGTACAAACAATCGTTTTTATTTCACTTGAAGATGGAACAGAGCTTGGTACTTTAATTCAGTTTAATTCAAATAATTATATTGAAGTTTTCGGCTCTTGTTTTGAAATATGAGAACTCTTATGTAGCGATGGAATCATATTTTTAAATAAATAATTATATTTAGGCTGTATTGAGCACTGTTTTTTTAAAAATAAATAACAAAAATATTAAAGAACATTGGATTATTTACCGAACGAGTCCTTTCCTATTTTCTATATATTTTTACACACACACACACACACACATATATATATATATATATATATATATATATATATATATATATATAAATACACTTTATTTTTATTTGTTGATAATTGTATAGAACTGTTTAATATACCTATTTAATTATTATATTCTTGTACATATATATAAATGCTTTCTCTCTATCACACACACATATATATATTTATTTCTAAGTATATAGAAATATGCTTATATATGCGCAGAAGAATTTAAGGCGGGGGGAGGGAAAAGATAAAAGCTTCTAGTGTTAGATGTATACAAATCTTTAATTATGTAACTTGATAGAAAGACACCTTTTGTATTTTCATGAATCTATAGACGGCAGATATGTGTGTGTGTGTGTGCGTAATGTATTTATGTATTAATTTTCTTATCTTGGTGTTAATGGCATATAGGAATTGTTCTCAATGCATGCTAATTCTTGTTAAGATTCAGAATTTCGTCTAGTTTCACCCATTATCAAGAATAAAACAAATTCAATATTCAGTGATTGTATATTTTTGATCATTCGGAATTTTAATTTGCGAATGTTTGTAATATCACTTGAAAATTATTTCTAAGTCTAAACAGTTTGTGGTATCGTATAACTTCTGAGAATTTAAATACATTTTAAAATGCTTATTCCAGAATTTTTTTGACGTGATATGGATAACTTCTAAATTTTATATATTTTTTTTAATAATTTATTTTTCTGAGTAATATTATGACTAGGAACTGTGTTATTGTAATTTTTGTGTTTGTCTGCCGTGTGTAGAAACATTACTTCATTCGTAATTATGACTAGTGATTCTACAGGAAAGAGTTATATGCCCTGTATGACATTTTATACAATTATCTACCGTGGTACAATCTCCAATAGGATAAGTGAATTTTTAAAAAGAATTGGCAGGGTTTCATTTCAATGAGGTTTTATTAGTGACTTTGTAGATAGATAGATAGATAGATAGATAGATAGATAGATAGATAGATAGATAGATAGATTTACAAGCAAGAATGAAAGGGTTTGAAACAAACAAAGAAAAAGGATGTGTGAAATTCCTTCAAGTGAAAGCGGTTTTAACATGCTCGTATCACACCAGCTGACAGAGAGAAGTAATGAACCAAAGAGAAAGAAAAAGGAAAGCAGACAAACAAGGATGTTGAAGATGTATCTAGGCTGGAAGACAGTGAGTGTCTGTGCAAAGTTCACTGGATCTTTGGATCTTGCAAACAGTGGGATCCCTTTTTACCCAACTCCGCCCACCCATGGTTTTTCCCTTCTTCTTGGCATGCTCAACGGTGACAATGGTGAATGCAACACGCGATGCCTCATACAGCCGAAGTCCAGCCTGTCACCGGCCTTTTGCTCTGCTGCCAGCCACCCGTCAGAACTGCGTGCGCATGTCAAAGGTACGATGGACGTTCTTATTTGCATATTCATTTGAACGTTCACGCGCGAAAAGCCTTCTAAAAGTCTTCCCGACCGCCGACGGCTCGGCTGATTGTGACAGACAAACAGAGATGGTGGCGGAGAAAGATGGCTGACGAAGAAATCATTTGCTGCTTGATTCTGTAGTATAAAAATACTAGCATGTCTCTAACCGTTTGTACGACGCAAATATCAGAACTACGAGATTATAATGTGCATGTCGTAATCTCTTTGTGCTTGTAATTCAACATATTCAGCGTATATGTTTACTCATGAGTGTATATGCCTAAGTTTTTTTGTTTTTTTTTTTTATTTTGCGTGGGAGTTGTGACTTACCCGACTGGTCCAAGTTTGTCAAAAGACACTAGTGAGTGTAAATCACCCCCGAGAATATTATTCTTTTTTATATATAGTTTTTCTTCAGGACATGGATGACTCTCCACAACTTTCTATCACTAAACAATGTTTATCCACTTACTGTCCCTCCCTGTTTATATTCTGCCATCTATTTACAAGCTCGCTAGGCAGGTTATTTGCCATTTCCTTCTCTTACCTTCAATGTCCCGTGAGCGTCAAATTTTCTAAGCCTTCATTCTTCCTTATGTTTTCTAGAAATTTCAACTCTCTTTTTCTGATCCTAAGAAAAAGTATACTTTCCTTTCTTTTGTTAGAATCTTCTCTTGGCTCACATGTTCCGTCATTGTATCCTCAGTATCCTTCTGTAGAACCACATCACTGTTGTACCATGTGTAGGGAGACCACGATTGTTTTCCCTTGAGCTCATGGGAGTTTGGCCCCTTTAGAGAGGGGAACTCCCCTTCAGTTTTTGCTTCCGTTTTTGAAGAACGACCTCTTTTACCTTCCTAACCACCAAGGCACCCACGCACGTGGAAACTGGTCAACATGTGCACGGCCTAGCGAAAGAAAAAAGTAATTTCTATTCACTTATCTGCGGACGATCAAAGGCCATAAAGTTGGTCTGTTATTTCTTTGTTCTTGTTCTGTAAACCTCCTCGTTCCTTTGGGACAATATGAATAATCATTTGTTTTGGGACATATGTAAATCTTTTTAATATATGTATAGAAGTTGTTTGCCTTATTAAATGTTTTGTTTGTTACGGTCGCATATTTCGTCGTTCTATATTCGCTTTCAGTGTTAATGTATCAACGGCTACTCTAATATTAGTACTCGGTATACTACTGGAAGGCTAAAACACGTTATTCTTCCTAACACAAAATAGTCGGTAAACTCTATGTGGCCTTAACCTATACTAATACATGTTTACTCTTCAACTGTGAGGAAATTGTCCAGCATTGACTATCATAAAGGAGGACTGATATTACATATTGATATTCCATAGCAAATCAGCAGTCTGTTCTTTGGTTTCTAATTAATATTTTTACTGTTTCTTAATACTGACTGTTGTAATTTCATACTAAAAATCTTTTTTATGTGCGCTTAAAGAGGTGTTAATTGATTTTTTTGTACATGGGCATTTTCTTATCTTCATCGAAAAATCTCCTTCGGTCAACAATTGCTTTTAAACATATATGCACACAAGAAGGAAGCGGTTAGAAAGTCCGTTTCGCAAGCCATTGCTAACAAAATCTAAAATAAATTTTTAAATCAAATAACTCGGTGTATGGACCAGTTATAAAAAAATAGTATAGGAAATAAAGAAATTGAACAAAATATAGGTTGCGCTAGAAGTACTTTTGTCTAATATTATAAGATGTTATAAAACTAAAATCTTAATCTGAAAATTCAAGTCATGTTCATAAATAGCCTTGTCAGATCGAGACATTAAAATGAAGGGCAGACATGTCATCGAACTCGTTCAGAAATATCTAAACTGTCAGTTCTATCTAATCGATTTCTCAGATCAATAATTAAAATGCCTTCAAGTGAATGAATTCAGTAGGTCTTAAAGAAAATCCGTTATCAGATCTTACAGACTGGCGCTACAGAATCACAAAGAAAGTTTTATCAAATAACAAAAACGACATCACTTGAAGATTTCCAACAGCAACAACTAAAATGGGCAGCAGATATAACGAGAAGGGGAAAATAATGATAGAATCAAGATGTTGACTTTCCACACAAACAAAAGGTTAGGAAGGAAGCTTCCTTCAATATTAGAAAGAGCTATAACATACACTGCACTAAAGAAATCTAAATCCAGTAAAAACTGTTTAAAAAAAAAAGATTTTATACATTTCAACCGACAGTAACGATAAATGTTCAGACAATGAATGACGACTGTTTCCTTATAAGGAAACGGCTATTTTCATCATGTATCTAAGTAAGACAATCTCAACAAATATCCATGTACATAGCTACTAGTGTAATAGATAAGAATGTATAAAAATGGTAAAAATTTGATCAAATATTTTTTATAAGAACTTTTTAGTCGAACTGATAACTTTTCAGCGCCCTCAGCTTAATAAATGCAAAGAAGTAAAAGACTTCTAATATATTGTAGATTTGTAACTTAAATTCAATTTATAATTTCGTAAATGGTTATTAAGTTCATCTTTGACAAACATTTATCACGTGCCTTTCAAGTTCATCTACATTTATTATTGGATGATACAAATAATACTAGATCCGCCTTCGCCGTAGATTGACGAGTATTTACGCGCAAGGGAAGCACACAAATTAACATCTCTTTCTTTATTTTTAATTACTTTTTATCCTATTTGTTTTTTTTTACAAGATGTCCCCTCCCCCGTTATATGAATATTACCGTTTCTCTTCTTTAATGTATTTACTTCTAACGACGCCATTATATAGCATATCCGTCATGCGTAGCTCTCTTCAACCGCTGGTTCAACCGTCGAGCTTCCGCTTGTTCCACCGTTGAGGTCTTTGGGGGTGTTTGCTTTACTTAGTCTGGGTCACCGTTTCGATCTTGCCGCTAAGGTTGTCCATACCAGGACCTTAGAACTCCCGACGGCATCGCTCTCAGTCATTGGATCACACAAGCCTCTCCACCACTACAAAGAGCAACTCTCAGTGGTACGCACATAGAAATATCCATGCATAAACACAATATATATATTTTACACTGGATGTCAGAGTAAACAGTACCACATTGTTATTATTATTACTTTAAAAACCAAACAATAAATAAAAAAATAAGAAAAATATAAAATATGAGAACATTTTTTATTATTGTTGTTGTTTGAAAGATAAATAATAGTGGAAGAAATTAACTATTCTGATCTGGACCAATAGTATAAAAAGTAAACAAATTAACGAAATTATAACGGAGTCAGCATTCCATATGTACCTCAAAAAAGGTCATTAAATCAAGTGTGTGGGTCACTTAAATTCACGCCATCGGCACTTATACTGATTTTCTTTCACCTGCAACCAAAACTCACAAAACCAAACGGCGGTAGGGAATGAAAAATGGTGGGGGGGATGAAAAATGGGGGGGTAGGGAATTAAAAATGGGGGGATGAAAATGGGGGGTGAAATGGGGGTAGGGAATGAAAAATGGGGGGGCATGTTTTAGAGAAACTGGAAACTTCTAATCCTGAACCTGCACGTTGGCAGCGAATTTAGTCATCAGCAAAGAAGTAAATTCTTAGATATGATATAAAGCCGACGATTTACTCGTCAGCTTTATTAACAATTTACTTTTTACTAATATATATGCACACACACAGTGTTGTCTCATAGGGATGTCATGTTGCCACTTTTTTAGTCTAGTGACAAATTGGATAATTACTAGACCCCTCTTCACTGGAAAAGCCTGAAATTATAATCCCTTTTGCTGAGTTTTCACCTCAACTTTCAGAGATGTGATTTGCTTTTTCGAGCCAAGAAAAACTTGTTTATTTGATTTTAGCATTTTGAGCTTTCAAAGATCTGGTCACTCCACGCATCACGTGATCAAACACATCGCACCGTACAGTTAATGATTTATATAGAAATAAATTTAAAAGTCTTTGAGGCCTTAAATTTTATAGTGGATATTTAAGATCAAGGAAGAAATAATTTCTTTTAATAATGGTCACACCTTTCAAATTTTTATAGATTATCCAAGGACATTTGATAAGACACGTGGAACTCCTTGAAGTATTAGGAAAGCTTGATTTACATGAAAATGATATTCAAGTAATCCGTAACCGCTACGAAGAACAAATATGGCTACAGAACACGTATAGTGAATATACAAAAATAGTCTATTCCTACTCTTTTGTACAATAGTGACTAGCATGTTTTATGATTATATTTAGTCACTAATTAACATTAGTATTCCTAATAGTTTAGGTAATATATATAAAAACTGTCTGAAGTTCCATGTAGAAACATCATAAGTTTATACATTATCGGAGCTCGTATTTTCATCTTTGCTGTTTTTAACCCTATTTCAACTAACCAGCTTTCATAAAATGTTTGTTCGGTTCGTAGAATTGTGATGAACGATACAAAAAAGAGGACTTTGTGTAAAAATTGTTTTAGTGTCAATAAACTAGTCTAGCAGTAGTTTTACTGTTGTATGAACTTTTTGTTTGTCATTGATGTAGAATAGCGCCACAAATGTACAAGAACTCCTTTAAAAGGAAACATTCAGCGCCAATGTTATCGGCTGCAACTATTGCACAATATAAGCTAATAATAGATGCATAGCAACTGGTAGTCTTCCATGTTACTTCTGTTTTTGAGAAAATGCTCAGAATCAGTGTTAAGGAAAAGAGGGAGAGCTATAAAAAATAGTTTAGTAGCAATTTATATTTATTGTATTTTTCAAGATTTTCTCTGCAGATATTGAGACATGCCTGCCTTGTACGAGTTTCATCAATAGTCCTACTTCGTTCTGCAGCCAACCACATTCAAAACGTTAAAAGATTACATACGAATTTCGCTCCTTTTAAGAAACACTGGTTGTAATAATATTAAGAAGCTCGATCAGTTTGTTCTTTTTTTTTGCGAAGAGAATGAAGAATTATATTCGAAAGTCTATCGAAGCTTATTACAATAAGACAATCACTTGATAAAGACTGAAGAACGTGTAGTGTATACGTTTTATTTTGTCTAGTAACCCATCAACAGTTTATGAAAGCCGAAACCAGGCTTTTCTTTGTTCCTTTTTGCTTCACTTTGTGAACGGAAAATATTCCAATATGGCTAGCTTTATTCGTTTCACGTCTAAAGTCCGTGCGTGTTGGGAAGAAGACATATGTCCGCTGTCAAGATTTTCATTTTTTTCTTTTTTTCTTTTTTCTGGGGGAATTGAATTCACGTCTTAACTAGAAGACGGATGACGTAAAAGGCAAAGCTCTCGAAATCCGAACTGTCACTAACTTTAGACGTGTAATACTTGGCCTATACTAGCCAATCAATGTCTCTATTCCATATCAATCGTAGGCATCCACGTGACTCTTACCAGTTTTATTTAACCTTGCACTAGAGTTTAAGTATTTTTGTTAGTATTTTCATCAATTGATTTTATTTGGGATCCCCCATAAGCTATCCAAGCGAAAAGATTGTCGAAATGCAACAATGCTGAGAATAGTATTTTCGTGAAATTAGTTTCATATTTACTCTGAATAATTTGTTACTCTGCTTTTGATGTTATAAATGGAAGAAAAGGGAACATTCAAACTTGCTTGCAACCAAGCATCTTATGTTCAATAAAATCTTAAAAAAGATAATTATATAGTGTTCTTGTTTATAATAATCATTTCAATTATTTTAGATAAATCATCCAGTCATTAATCAAGAAGACTTTATTTTTATTTAAGGTATTGTTGTCATGGCTTTTTTCTCCATTATCACTGACCAAATCTAAAGGGAAAATCGATTTCAATTATAACACCATTTTTCCAGCCCATCAATTTAGTTATTATAAAAACAGTGTTAAATATTTGATACAATGTTGGCAGATATAAAAATAACTTGACGAAACATAGCATTTCTTGTTATTCACAGTCGTGTTCATAACCTTTCGCGATTGTCATTGCCACTCGTCGTAGAAATTGGGTTTTATACTGATTTTCTAAGAGGAGCTTAGATGTGACACAATGTCGAAAGTATGGGGCACCCAGTGAGGATCGAACTCACTACTCAATCGTAATTGTTTTGCAAAGTAGTTTTTGGTAAGGAAACTTTCTTATTTTCTTTTTTTTTTTTTTTGTTTCGTTTCACACATTTTCCTTTGTTTTATTTATTCTTTTTTATTTATTTCTTCAGACTAATCTTTCTTCATTTTTATTTTTTAGATTATCTTCTCCATTTCTTTTGCTTCGTTTTTCTTTGTGATTCTTTTGGGGGCGGGGCCTTTCTGTTAATTCATTCCAAATAATGTAAAGTTACTTATTGCAAATATTAATTCACACTAAGGAATTATTAATTTTAAATCAAAGTTTGTTTTATTTTTTTTTATTACATTTATGGCACACTTTTGAAATTATAAATAAAAATTTGTTTAGTTTGACTCACAACAACTCCAACCATCAGAATGAAAAATTAACAAAAATCACGGAGTTATTTACATTTCGTAAGTGCGGATTATATTCGAGTTACTTATAAGGAATTTTTTAGGGTGAGCGCAAATGGAGACCCCACACTTAGAAACAGAGCACCAGAGTCGCCTACATTTGGGGCTACCACAAAGGTCAACCAAACAGGAGTGGAATGCAAGGGCCTCGCTCTGGGGGAAATTTGGTGTAAATTTTAGTAAATATAAATTCTTTTTATTTTGGAATGAAATCTTTTTTTTTTTTTTTTTTTAGTATTTTTTGCTATTCCTTTCTTTCTTTTTCTTTTATTTGTTTCACTTTTTTTATTTCTATTTCTTTCTTTCTTTCTTTTTCTTTTATTTGTTTCACTTTTTTTCTTTTTCTTTTATTTCTATTTCTTTCTTTCTTTCTTTTTCTTTTATTTGTTTCACTTTTCTTATTTTTATTTCTTTCTTTCTTTCTTTTTCTTTTATTTGTTTCACTTTTCTTATTTCTATTTCTTTCTTTCTTTCTTTCTTTTGTATTATGTTCTTTATTTTATTTTCATCTTCCTCTCTATTTTCCTTCTTTTTTTTTATCTCCCCTTGATTTTCAAATGTTCTTTTCGTTCCACATGCAATACATGCACCCCATCACTTTTTCTCTTCGTCTTTCTCTTCCCTTTGCGAACTTGATTCTATTCTTCAGTCGCTTTTTTTTTAGGTGGTGGGGGATTATATTTCATTCTTTTCAATCTTCGCCTTCTTTCACATTCATTTAAATTTTTTCATCTTTTCTCTTATTAGGAGGTCCGTCATCAGAGTGCTTTGAGTGACGGAGCCAGAGGTAGACGGATCGCGAGTAAGAATCTGTACATTAAAATTAGTTCAACTCCTTATCAAAGGTGGGGATCAAATGATTTTATGGGAGAGACAGGTACTCCTCAGTGACAATACTACTTATTAATATTTGTTTTTATGTTCTAGTCATTCTTTATTACTTCTCTTCGTTCCATTTTATTTCTTTATCATTATCATTTCACTCTCCTCTCTTTTAATAATACTTTCTTTTACTGTCACTGTCAAAGGCAGATAAGTACTTATTGTATAGAAGAATATCTATGAACTCGCTCTTTTCTCTATGGCGAAAAGACCATGGTCATACACATCACATGTAGAAATGGTTTCATGCCTTTGTGTGACGGTTACACACCTGGCCCAGGGTCGAATCCCTTGGTTACGGCGCCAACTGTGACGTCGCTCCTCCTGGTCGCTCCTCCTGGTTCCAAGTGTGCCGCTCCAACCCCTTGGTTGGATGATCACCAGCCTCGCCTTTCCCAACTCGCTTCCAATACCTGGTCACTAAAGCAACTGTACCGATCTCCGGTCTGTCTACCCACGCTGTGTTTAGATCTTAGACAGACGGGACCAGCAGGGATTGGGGCCGATACAAGTTGAGTCCGACGGGGGTGGCAAAACACAAATAAAAGAGAAAATAAACTCACGAGACAAAAAGATTGCTGATGAAAAAAAAAGGGTAACAACCTTTTATATCTTAATGTCCGTTACATAAAAACAAAATTGTTCTCAATTCCCGACCCGCTCTGTGGACTATGGCACAAGCTTCTATCACACAACCTAAAGATTTCAGAATTGCCTACTCTTTAGAATTGTGTATGTCGGAGTGTGGTTTGGTTCGACACTGGGGCTAATTTCTATCGATCATTCGCAGTTGATTCTTCTCTTCGACTTGAGTTGTATTTCTTCTTCTTCGTCGACTTAGGCTGGAAGTTCTCTTGTCTTCGACTTGGGCTGGAAGGATCTCTTGCCGCAACTCAGCCGCAACTCTCTGTCGTCTGAGGCTGAACTCTGTCGTAACTCTGCCGTAACTCTGCCACAACTCTTGCTTCTTATCTGCCTGCAATTCTTCGGCCTGTCTGGCCTGCAGCTCTTCTTCTTATCTTCGACTTGGCTGTAACTTCTCTGCGGCTTTCGAGGAATCTTCTTCTTCTTCGACTTGGCTGCAACTTCTCTGAGGCTTGCGAGCAATCTTCTTCTTCTTCGACTTGGCTGCAACTTCTCTGAGGCTTGCGAGCAATCTTCTTCTTCTTCGATTTGGGCTGGAAGGATTTCTTGTCTGAGGATTCTCTTGCCCGCAAAGGGGCGAGTGAATCGGGCCTGATGCCCGCGTTCAGGCTCTATCCCTGCCCGCGGTCCAGCTGCAACTCCACTCCAACTGAACTCTGTCGACTGGGGTCCTGCTTTTATTGACGCCGCAGCAAACCGGGGTGGGTCTGTCGGCGTCAGGGTTTTCTCGATAATTTCAAAAGTCGCATTATTTCTGTCTTCTCATTATCGCTATAATTTTCACCCCTACTTCCTCATAGTGCCTTTGGTGGGGAGGCGCGTATGTCAGGTGACCGCTTTCGACCAATGGTTCCTGATCGAGCATTTCTTTCTTTTCTTTTCCGCAGCCACGTGACCGTTTTCGGCTAATGAGACTCTGGTTGGGCGTTTTCCTGCAATCAATCGGGGGGCTTATATCGTTCTTGTTCTAAAAAACAAAAATCTAATTTGGCCTTTTTCGCACGTACGAAAAATGATAATCTTGGCTTTTTCTCACCTGGGTTTTGTCAACACAGCCTGCCGCTAATTAGATGTGACTTCAGGGAAGAATATTGGCGCTATCTGTGAACTGAGACAATCGTTTTTTTTCACCTCTTGTTTTTGGTCAGACCCGACAGTCAGAAAATCTTAATTATCTACATTGAAAATATCTTTCACTCGTCAATGTGGGGGTTCTAATTTTTAACAGGTCAGAATCTGTATATAGTTCCACCGGTCACTCCCCTCAACCCAAAAACACTTTTTCTCTGATTAAGATAAATTTCGTTTCTATTGTTCTAAAAAGAATTTCCCTTTCTCCAATTTGACAATGAGTCTTTCCACGCAAAAGTAGGCTAGGTGCTTCGACCGATTTTTTTATTATCAATACACTCTTATCAAGCATTGTCCCTTCCACTCTCTAAATGACTTTCCCTTCTAAATAACAAATCCCATTGTTCTTTCGAAAATCGGCCAAGATGTTGGCCTAATTACCTTTCTGATACGTGTTTTTGTTAATGACCGCTTTTTGTATTTCTCGACCTCTCTTTTTTTTTTCTTTTCTTTCCTCTTCTTCCCTTAGGATCGTCTAAGTACAATCTTAGTGAATTATTTTCAACTCAATTATTTTCCGTTTTAAAAAAAATCAACAACCTGTTTAGTAAACCGAGTAAGAAAAAATTAAATCATATTTCTATGAATATTTCTAATAATGCAAGGTGCCACATTTGCCATGAACAATAAAGTGAAATTGGTATATGCTGTTTCAAAATGGATTCAAACATTTTTAGTCTCAAATGTCTCGATTTGATCGCTATCAACTTAATCTAGTCAAGTGCGAAGCGTAAGTCAGGGTAAAATCCCCATCACGAAACATGGCAAATTCCTTTCACAGTATTTTAAATACTGCACAAAGTTTCTCTCTTTTTTTTCGTATTTTTACCATTCTTTAAAAAATTAAAATCATACCATGCCAAAAAATGGTGATTATTTTTTTCATTCGCATGTATAAACAAATACGCCAAGTTTAATATTTTAAATGCATGTTGATAATATATTTATATATATATATATAATATATATATATATATATATATATATATATATATATATATACATATATATATATATATATATATATATATATATATATATATATATATATATATATATATATATATATATATATATATATATATATATATATATATATATATATATATATATATATATATATATATATATATATATATATATATATATACATATATATATATATATATATATATATACATATATATATATATATATATATATATATATATATATATATATATATATATATATATATATATATATATATATATATATATATATATATATATATATATATATATATATATATATATATATATATATATATATATATATATATATATATACACGGTCCCACATCTAACATTTCAGGCTAATTTCTAACAGTCCTATTTAGTTTATAGTCAGTTTATGTCTGTTTTATTTAAACCCTGTTAAAACCGTCCAAAAATGCACAAACATTTTTTTCTTTCTCTTTTTAAACAGAAATGTAATAATAAAAGATTGTAAACAAACAAAAAAGTTATTAAAAAATTAAAAAGTAAAATATAAACAAATACAAGTAAAAGAACTTACGAACAGTTTGTCTATAAAGCAATTTTCTTTTGACTTTTGCCTTTTTTTAAAACATTCTACAATATATTCTCGAACTTCATTCAATGAAAACTTTCGGTTGTTGTCGAAAAATATATTCACAACAATTTTTCTTGCTAAGTGTATTCCTTTTTTAAGTGTTGTTCACAAGTAAAAACATATTTTGGAGAATAAGTTTCCAAAATTCTTTCAGCAGACTCTCTTGTAGCGGATTTATTATGTTTTACAATAAATTTATCTGCATAGTCAGTACAGTAAAACAAGTACAAACGAACTCTGCCATTTGGCTAGATGGAACCATAAGACATCCCCGAGAATGTAAATCAAAATACTGCATCTCTGCAGCATCATCATCACTATCATTGCCTACCATGACCAAGGAACACATTTCACATTGAAAACGTTTAATTAATTTTTTGGAATTTTCTCTAATAAACAAAAGATGCTAATGGAAATTTATCCAGAAGTAATTTTTAGGCTTCTTGTGACGTATAGCACAGTAGTAAGGCATAGCGTATTAGTTCTGCAGAAAATGAAGGACGGCCTCTTGGTTATTAATGTCATTTTCTAATTCTTTTAGAATTGACTATGGTTGTTCTTCCATCACGTTTTCTGTGTAGTTTGCAAAATTTTCTTACATACTAAATCATTATGTATAAACCATTGGAGCTGGACGTGAAGGTTTTGGTCAATGTGAATACATTCTTTCATACATGGAAAATGTGTTTCAGGTTCAAAGATTTTTCTATAAATTAAAATATAATCTATTTTTAATTCAAAACCTTTAGGATATCACTTTGCTTCTTCCAATTGAGTAAAATCCTTTATCGTATCAGCTGAAATAAAATCATGTAATTTATCAGTTTGGACCAGTCGTTGTTTTGGAGGCTTTCTGAATTCCTTTGTATTCGGCCAAAGAGACGGTTTTCTTCTTTTTTTTTTTTTTTTTTTTTTTTTTTTGAATGTATTGTAGGTATTGGATGTAAATCCCAGTTCAATTTGTTTCGTTTTCCTTTCAAAATAAATTTCTTTTCAAAATGTTTCATACAGAGAACTGAATTTTTCGTAGGAAACCAATAAATACGATTAACAAATTTTATCCATTTTTCTACGAGGTCGGATTTTCCAAGAGGAAATAAAATGTCCATACTTTTTCACTGTTAGTAATATATACACTAGAACAGCCAAAAGCAATACATTTGTTAACCATTTTTAAACAAAATGTCACAACTGTATAATTTAATCTTTAAATGCGGTAGAAAATTTACCTAATAACGTTCATTTGCAAAACAGGCTGTATACGCAATTGAAAATCATAAAAGCGAGGTAACTCACAGCCGCTTATAATTAGTGGATTAGTAAAAAAAATATGTAAATATGCATTTTAGTGTTGAAACATGTCT